AATTTGTATGTTTTTTAAAGCCTTTTTTTTTTTGGGGATGGTGGTTTTTAACTTTTTTTTTTTTTTTTTTTTTTTTTTAGCTTAGAAACAAAGTTGACAAAATAAATGCTTAAACCTCCAAACCTCCAAAATATGTACGGGACATGCTAAATGTCCCGTACATATTTACTCAAAAACAAAGACGTCAAGCTTGTTAGGACATGTGATCAACTTCAACCAGCTTTAAACCACATCTAAGCATAAAGAGATGTCGCTACTTAGATGTTCTTTCTGCATCCCCCTTTCAACCACCTCTCCTCGCTGTTTAGGCACTAAAATCGTGCATTTCCAGTGACTGTTGCTCAATGGGTGACTGTTATAATCTAGGATAATAATAAAAATATATTTATAACTGAAAGGCTAAACTTTGAGAGAGAAGCAGACAGAGTGGGTGGGAATCAAATGCTCTATTTTAAAACAGACACGAGGGCAATTTTTTTTTTCTTTAATCACTCCATGTGATTTGTCTTAATATCTACGATCACACACGGAGGGGAAGATGGAGATGAGTGGTTGGAGAGACCGCAGACACTGTCCTGGATATTAGACCCCCCCCCACACACACACACCTTATCCGCCTCCCCTCCTCAAGGCTCCCAAAACCCTGACGCATTACTTAATGTGCATTTATTTTGTATCGATTCTGATACACTTTATTAAGATGAACCACACAGGCGTATTTAACCACACGAATATTTAAAGGTGCGCCACTTTAAAGCCGTTTGGCGCAGAGGGAAGGCTCACCTGTCTCCTTTTAGGGCTCCCTCCGTGTGTGAATGTTAAGCTGAAGTGGCTGCATGTTTATTGGTGCAGGCGCATGTAGAACATCTCGCTTCTTTTTAATGTCTCCCATAAATGATGATTATGGATGGAGATGGGGGTGATGATGTGTCATGATGTGGGAAAACGATGGACATCATCAGCAAGGTCTGAGTTAAAATAACACATAAGGAAATATCTGTTTAATCAATTCTGCATTAATTACATGGGCAGGCAGGGCAAATCTCTCCCTATGCGTCTCTGTGGCGATGAGGGAAGATGCCCGGTTTCCTCCCTTAAAACGCAGCACAGCGCGCGCGTTTGTGTGTGTGTGTGTGTGTGCGCGCGCGCGCGCGAGCCCGCGTGCGTGTGTCTGTGTGGGTGCGTTTGTCTCATTTTTGCCGAAAGTTCCAAAAGGCTCACTTGGCAGTGCTCTCTCAAACTGTGAAATTAATTTGGCAAAATGCTGGTCGATGCTGCTGGTGATTGTGGTAGACTGAAGGTGCGTTAACAATAAAACTCACACCCTGCGCGTTATTTCTCCTCCATTCTTTATCATCTTCCTCATCTTCGTCGCCATTCTCGCTGCCATTATCTTCCTCATCATCATTTCCACCACACAATGATCTGCAGCCTACATATGCTCCCAAGTTTCCACAGGTAAAAAACAAACAAACAAACAAAACAAAACAAAACAACAACAATAAAAAAAAAACTTAAAAAAAAAAAAAAAAACTTGACAAATCATGTTAATTGTGTTTCAGTACATTTCACAAAGTTTTTGTTTTGGGCATTTTGTAAACACTTTGTAATATGAAAACACCTTCTGTTTCTATACAGATGAACACAACTAAGGTCTGCATTTTGTTAAACATCAGTACTTGCTCTCATTTAAATGGCCTTTGAGTCTTAAATATACGGCCCAGTCAGTGGCTAATTTCTTTTCCCTAACAAATGTCCAGTGGCCATCTAAACACAGCTAGGTAATACATATGTTTTCCCACTATGGGACTTCAAAATTGAAAGTTTTTTTTCAAGCCACATTAAAGAAACGAAAACAGCATTTGATTTATGTGCATTTGGATCAATGACATTAGAAGAGGTGCAAATGTTTTACAGATCACATGTTTTAAGGGGAAATTTGATTAAAAACTTACTTGCAAAATAAAGTAAAAACCAGCAGCTTACTTAAAATAACAGTTTATTACTTAGTACCTTTTGTGATGTCACCAAACGCATGTCAACCTGGCTGATGTGTTTTGTGGAATAAGAATGTTTAATTGTGATTAAATAAGGACTTTCAAAAATAAATGAATAAATAAATAATTAAATTTCTTAACAAATCAACCGGGTTGCAGCAACTGTATGTAAAGTGAGTTTGGTTGGTTTAAAAAGTCCATCGTGTAGCTTTAATGCAGACGTTTTGTAGAGTTTTGTTCAATTTATTTTTAACAGAGTGTTTGCCTATATTTCCTGTCATGTTCGGTTCACTTAAACCACATACCATAAAGACAATAAGTGTTTGAACAATTCCTCTCCTGCCGCATACAGACTGGAGTCTTTCACCTCCAATTCGCAGCTCTCTCAGACCTTTCTCATGTGAAGAACACGCCGAACAGATATCCTTTGCAGAACCCCCGCATCCCCGCTTGAAATTGCCACAGATACCCCACATCTGACATTTTCTATTGTTTGATGAGTTTTTTTTTTTTTTTTTTTTTCCTTCGTGCAACAGTGTCTATGTCCAGGAGATGAGCGGAGATCAGCGGGGAGCTTGAAACCCACCCGGGAGCATGCATCTACAAATGCATACATGCTGTAAATGTGCAACCAGAACCCCGAACGCGACCTTCAAGAGAAATTAATTTTTATTTCACCCCCTCCTCAGTGACCCCGCAGCGTCCCAGGACCTCACTTTGGGAACCGGTGAAGCCTATATGTCGGACTGTGATCATGGGGTTGAATTAGATTACAGGGAAATTACCCTCCTCCCTCCCACCCCCTACCCCCACAACCCCACTCCGCTCCCCCGTCCTCCCCATCCTCTCTGACTGACCCCTGCAGGTCCCGGGACCCGCGGCTCCGGGGACTCAAGCCAGCCCCCCCACACCCCGAACTAATGAACAGCCATAACACGTAAGAAGTGGTGGCCGCCAAAAGACAGCGGCGTGCGGGCTGCTGTCAGAGCTGGCTGTGCGCAGAGAAATCGCTCAACCCTGTGAGAGGACAAATCTTCACGGAGGGTCTCCGCAAAGAGAGAGAGAAAGAGAGACAGAGATAGATAGGATGGGTGGGGGCGGAGGGGTGTGTAGAGATGTGGGGAGCGAAAAGGAAATCGATGTGGAGGAGCTACCGCCTGTTGCAGCGAGATGGCGCTGTTCTGCATGTTTCACCGGAGCGGTGCTTTCACCGTTTCTTCCTTTCGTCTCCATCTGGATTTCCGCTTCTTATTCTTTTTTTTTTCTTTTTCAAAGAAAATATTTTCAATTGGAGTTTTTCTTTTAATTAATACATTACTAGGAGATAGTTTGATTTTGGAATTCCAGACACTTTAATATGTTTTTAAAGCATACAAGAAAAAAAAAATAATAATAAATGACTGGAATTTAAACATCGACCATGAAGTGAAAGGTGCAAATATTTGTTTAGCTCTAAAAGATAAACGGAGCGCAATTATCTTCAAATATTTCGTTTTGTTTCGTTTTTTCTTCCTTCCTTTCTTTCTTCTTTTCTTTCCTGTATTCTTTCATCTTCTTTATTTTTTCTTTTCTTTCTTTCTTTGTTTCTCTTTTACTTTCCTTCTCTTTCTTTTTGTCTTTCTTTCAAAATAGTAATTTATCGAGCTTTATTACGACTTTAGAGTAGACTTTAGATTAAAAAAAACACTTTTACTTCTAATTTATCTTTTGAATTTCGATCATGAAATCCTAAATTATCATTACTGTAGCAATTCTCCTGCAAAACGTCCGCACTGTACGGGCAAACATTTAAAGAAACCAACAGAATTAAATATGATCCAATAAGTAGACTTTACCTCTAAATATGACATTAATTTTCTTGTAAATATGTAAATGTTCTTTTCATCCCTCTAGCACATATTTTTTCTTTTCTTTATTTGTTATTAAAATTGTTCCTACGCTGGATCTTCTAAAGCTCTTTCTGTACTTAACATAAAATAAGCATATTTGGTCTAACAATAAACTAAAATAAATAACCAATTGCAAGATTAAAACTCCTATCATAAAAATAAACGATAAAGAGGGTAAATTTGATTCAATTTGAAATCAAATCAAATTTGAGGTACGTATTGAAAAATGTGTTTCAGTACCAAAATTGCACAAGTTTTAAACTAAAAGGCTCACTAAAATCAAATTACTTCCAAATGACTTCAAATTTGTTTGCCATGTATGTTTCTTATGGGAGATTTGAAAGAAGAAGCAGTTTGAATGGAGACATTTTATGACGCACAATGTTTTGGACTGAGCGATCAAACTCCCTGCAGCCTTGGTCAGTCCTCTGAACTTTACCACTATATGTAAACAAGTTGTCAGAGAATAATCTTCTCTGTTCCCCCTTTCTCCCTCTTTTTTTATTGGAATGAAAATTCAATCTTCCAAGATCAGATTAGACTACTTTTTTTTTTTTTTTTTTCCCTACTTCTTCTCTCCTCTCTCCCGGTTCCTTGTCATCGCTGGGGATGGACTTTGGTGGACAATAATGCGGCAATTGTCGATGCTTTGTGACCCATAAAATTTGAGGGTGGCTATTCTGGCTTTAGTATGTAATTATGCAAAACACTTTGCATAAAGACTTGCCATCCGATCTAATGATAGAGTCTGCGGTCTCATTTTTTGCAGCGAGGGGAGGCACCGTGCAAGCAAAAGCCCCTGCAACTCTGAGCAGATCGGCGGAAAAAAAAGCAGCTATAATCAAAAAGAAAAGTGCACGAATAAGAACAGGTGCCATTATGCAGGTAATTTTGTTATGATGTATGATGGAGTGTATTTAAATCTAACCGCTGTTTGCCCAGCCCATGCATTAAGACATATTTGCAGAATAATTTTAGATGTTGTCCCTTCAATAAACAATATTTTGTGTAAGGCTTCAGAGTTTTTTTTTTTTAATGTAATAAGAATTTTGATTTGGCTTAATTGTTTTAAGGTAAAAGAAAGGCTGTTTCTGAAAATTCGAAAGAAAATTGACCTCATTCGGATTTTCGTGTAATCAGACAATTTGTTAATGTATGAACGCGTATTTCACTAAAACGTTGTTTAATTCCCTAAACATGCAAAAAAATAAAAATGAATAAATCTCCATATGTGTCCTATTTGCTGTTGTTTAGTAAAATTTTTCGTGATGATTAATAAAATGCAATACATATCTTGCTTTTGAGGTGTGCAATGCATTGGATTTTTTTTTTACCTTTCTGTGTGTGTATGGGTGTGTGTGTGTGTGTGTGTGCATGCACATAATAAACACTTGTGCTGTCTGACAGAGGTGCGAATCTGAGAGCTTTTCCACCAAATGAAGTGCCAGCAGAAAGAGAAATAAAGAGATCTGCAGCTGTCAGGGGTCAGGCAGGGAGAGATTGCTTCTAGAGATCTTTTGAAAAAAATCACACGTTTGAAGGCTTAGAGCTTTGCTGTCTCCGCATTTCAAGCTCAGATCAGTGGAATCAGGGGAGGAAAAAAAAAAAAGGAAGAACATGGGTTGGAGAATTCTGATGCTGGGATGGACACGGGAACAGTGCTGTTTGGAGGTCTGTTTTATGTACCTGATCCTTTAGAGAGGGGAAGAAAGACAAGCCGAGTATTTTGTTCTGTGTGTTGGAACAACCGTGTCTCTAATGTCCGGGTGTGTAAAAAAGAATTGTGTGTGCAGAAATCTGCTCTGCTGCCGCCTCAAATTTGAAGCGAGTCTCGACAGAAGATCGAAGAGAAGCAACTTTGGACCCTTAAGTGTTTCGCAATTTCTGTTTTTGCGTTATGTAATAATAATAATAATAATAATAATAATAATAATAATAATAATAATATATAGTTTTTTTCTTTTGCCATTCTGAATTTGATCTCTGTTAAGTAATGGAAATGTAAATAAATAACTTCAGAATTAGTTGAAATGCGGAACTCTGAATCCAACTTTATTTTCTTGAGATGAGGAGCGACTTCTGGTCCTTTTGTGGCTCGTGATCGAAACAGAACCGCAGTTTGGTCGATAATATAGAGGGGACACACTTGGTGACGTTTTGACAAATCGATCGAACATTTAATCGTGTATTTCAACATTCAAGACAATTTAATTAGCCGGTATGATCATAAATCTTAAGGAAATATTGGTAAGTATCGGGTGTCATATATTTTAAAAAAAAAAAAAAAATGTTTGTTGATATTTCCTGCTTTGAAGAAACTTCATGAAAAGAATGCATAGTTGTAGGTATAGATTTTAAATGGAAGACTGTCTCGATGTGAAGTCTGGAAATGATGATGTTTGGGAGTTTCATTAGAAACGACAAAGAAATCAAATCTTAAATGTATAAAATGCATTTTTCATTCTGCTGGTGTGCAAAATAAATCTTCATCTTAGACAGTTGGTGTCTTGTCTTACTTTTTAAAAATGCAGTCAAGCACACAGATGTACAAAAGAGTAATGCATGGAAAGTATATATATATATATATATATATATATATATATATATATATATATATATATATATATATATATATATATATATATATATATATATATAAAATGACAAATAATTATGACAAATATTGTCATCTGATTTATTTCCCTCTGTATCCCGTTTTAAGAATGAACATCAGCTTGATTAAATTATTTAATCAACATTTTGATTCTCTCCTCTTAACTTTCTGCCAAGTTTTTATGATGTTCAGTTTGGATACATGTGTTAATCATTTTTACTTAAATGACAACTTTGAATGCACAACAACCCATTTAATATTACACGTTCATGACAAGAAATGCATTACTACTCTTTAGTTGGGACCTAACTTTATAAGACATTTCTTTTATTTTTTACTCAACTTTACTTCTTTTAACATTATTTTTAATTGTAAAAGGTGTTTAAAGAAGACAAATTAGAAAGATAAACTGGAAAAAAGTAAAAGACAGGAGGTCTGTAGTTCACATAAGCACATTATGTCTGACTATTTGATTAATAATCTTCTCGAGATTAAGAACAGAGAAAAGGAAAAGCTTTTACTTTGAAAGTCCACAAATCTTTCATCACAAGTGACTTGTGGAGAAACATGCCTATCTTAATTTGAAGCCTAACTTCTTACTGTGTGTCTTCTTCATATGCTATGTGATTTTTTTCTTTTGCTCCTTGTGGAGAAAGGAAAATATGCAAATCCCATCAGATTTATAACACTCAGCTCCTTTGAGCCGTTCATGTGCTTTTGCTGTGGTGTATTATTATTTTCAAGGGTTCTCAGCAGGACATAAAGAGATCCTAAGTTATTCTTGCACCTGACAAAAAATATATAAATATATATTCTTTTTTCAGGAAAAGTGATAATGACATGATTTACCATCACCAAAATGGATGGTGGTGAAGCTTGTTTCTTCACATATGGAATTTAATATAAATTGACAGGCAATGAAGTAAAGAGTCTTTTATGTGACAGCATTATGGGCTCATTAAATCCTCCGCAGAACAGGTGATACAAACACTTCCATTCAAATGCGCACAAAGAGGAACCAGTAGACTTTATTCAGCCGAGGATGGAAATCAGAAACGCGTCTCCTGTGAACTCTGAAGTTTGTTGTTTTTGGAGCTAAATAAAAGTTTGTCTTATTGCTTAATTTCTCATTTGGCTCATTCCAAACTCTACCAATGTTTTCACTGTCTCCTCTCAAAAAATGTTTAGTTTATCTATTTGTGTGTATGTGTGTGTTTGTCTTATTTTCTTGAATTTTGCCCTGCATTTTGGATCCAGTGGTTTCACCGGAGAAGGAGAGAGGGAGTGACACAGAGAGGGAGAGATAGATAGATAGAGAGAGAGAGAGAGAGAGGGAGAGAGAGAGAGAGAGAGAGACCCCTGATTGGCCTGGTGTTAAAGAGCTCTGATCTAGGCCATGACAGCTTAGTCCAATCAGCCTGCTCAACATGCTGGTTTGACTGTCACTTTCAATTTTCACATGACCCCATGCTCCTAGAATGGGGGAGAAGTGGCAGAAAGTAGGACTGAAGGCTCATATTATCGGCCTGACAGCTTCACTCATCTGAAAGTAATGCAAAACGCAGTTCATATTTATTCTCTGACCTTATGTCCGAACAGGGAATCTACTGTAGCTACATTGTTAGGTTGCACAGACAGAAAAAAGGCCAACTGGGTGGAATCCTTCAGCATAATTTGAGGGGGGAAAAAAAGAAAAAAAATAAATTTATAAAGTGAAATAACACGAGTTCTACAAGAAGAAAAGTTTCAGGAAGTCTTTAGACAAAAAACAATGAAGCAAAATTATGTTTTAATGCCATTTCACCTAAATAAGCATTTGTCTTAGAAGGGATGATCATATTCTCTTCTACTGAGTTCCAGTTCTGCTCATGTAGGTCATAAAAGAAGAAGAGTGCTATCAGTGCTGGTAGATGTGGTCATTATCAGACATGGTGCTAGACAGGAGGGAGGGGTTCATTGTTCGCTGTGTGCCGGTTGCCCATTGACTGAATAAGGTGTGTTCATTGTTCCTTCTCCGTGTGTTATAGCCACAGGCTCCAGCTTTGTTACACCGCTTCGCTGCAAATAGTCTGCTGGCTAGAAATGCAGCGTGATTTATTTAAACGGAAGCAAATGAGAGAAGCTGGAAATCACCCCCTACCATGCGCAACATTCATAATATTGTGTCACTTACCAAAGGGCTGTGGTGGTGTTTTGCTCTCTCGTCAAACTGAAGCCACCAAACATCTGCAACATCTCCTGTGAAAGTGCACACGTTGGCTTATTTCAGCGTTTTGCATGTTGTTGTCGTCGTCGTCGTACGGTTTGCTCCGCGGGAAACACACAAGAGTTGAGTAGTGGAGCCGTAAAGGTTGTTGTAGTTTCTGTATAATCCTCACTTCTTGTCCCCTGCCTGCCCTCCTAATCCCTTGGCATGTGTTGGTGACATCACATGGCTACTGGCTCCAAATTCCCCCTGCAACTGTCATTAACTCTGTGAACAAATGAATAATGACTGGGAGACTCGCTGGCTCCCACCGCTGACCTTGGGTATTATTAGTGTGACCTCTCTTTGGCTTGACCAAAAAACCTTTTTGATATCATTGCTGGAAGTACACTAGGAATGATGGCCTGTCTGCCTGCAAGAGGGGCGGGGGGGTTGGTGCAGTCAGCATCCACCACTGTCATGTAAACCTACACTTTCCATCCACTGCTGTTTCATGAATACTTAATTAGAGAACACAGGCTGAAATACCTGCCTTGCAAGTCAGCTGACCTCTCTTTTACCAACAATGCACAATATTTGGATTTAGCCGGGCGACATGGTCAGATGACATGTTTCTTTGCGCTGCAAAGGGAGGGCCTTTTGGGAGTCCTGCGGCAGTTAGCTGTGTGATATCATCTGTGCAGACAGAGGAGTCAGTCAGGTGTGGCTGTGGGAGGAAGCATCTCCATATGTCAAAGAGTTGCTTCTCACAGGAACAGGCTGGAAATCACACGCTGATACTGAGCACAACCTGCACAAAGATCAGTGAGATTTATTATCAGATGGAAACTAACTCAGTGAACTTTATATATATATATATATATATATATATATATATATATATATATATATATATATTATTCAATTACATATTTAACTACATTTCAGTTTATACCTACACTATTGTCTTTGCATTTCTGTTTTCAGAAACAATATGATTTAAAGAATTGGTAAATTTCATGTAAAATGGATCATATTTTGTCGAGGGTTAATTTCTCAATAAAATATTTATATCATGGAATATGCTTAAATTTTGTTAAGTCTATTTTTTTTTGTATTCAAAATGTTCTGTACATTTGTTTTTGGTGGAGAAGAATAACACTGCTTTTAGTTAAAGACACTCCACATGTCATTGTTCCGGACCAAACACTCCTGAATTAGGGAACAAAAGCAAATGTGTGATAAAATGTGGTGTGTTTTAACGCCAAACCCGCCTGAGATCAGAGACTGAATGAATGAATAACTAGTTGAAATGAAACTGTCAGATTACTAATCTCAGCGCCAGTAATGGAGAGCCTGCTCCTATATGGACAGTGACAAATACGCAGAGAGGCCGCAGCTATTTAAGGCTCGCCCAGAACGAATAAATACCTGATATGAAAGGTAGACACAGAGACTGGGCTGATGTAATCAGCGCTGCCACGTCGAGGGCTCTCCATCATTGCAATCTGCAGATTGCAATAAAAGTTCCCAGAATTGCTCTGAGGAACTCAATCTGAACCAATAGACAATCACAGCCTCTGATCTCGCTCCCAATTGAGACACATCCCAGCTGAATGTTCCAGAAATTAGACCTACTTGGTGTGCTCATGATCTTGAGATGGGCAGATAGAGCAGGTGTTATCCTTCTGTGTCACACACATGAGGCGCGCGCGCGCGCGCACGCGCCTGACAGTGGATATATATGCTGCAGCAAATGGACAGTCCGTACATGTAACATTTTACGTAAAGCACCGCGTAACCCAGAAGTGACAAAGTGGGAAGGGGCTGAAGGGCGGCAGTAAATCGCTCGCTGATGTGTGGATTATACTCGAACCGTTCGACACAGCTGCACGACCTCTGTCAGCAGAGAGCAGCAAAGTGGGACAAGAAGAGGAGCGGGAGCCCACCGCCTTTACTGCGGCAGGGCGGTCGTGTCGGGAAGCCGAGCGGCCAAGCGAGTGCTGGAGGTCGGCCTTCGGCTGCCTGGTGTGACGGAGAGAGAACAATGCTTCAGAAAGTTCTCAAGTTATTAAAAGTGAGGAACAAAATGCGCCACGCAGTGTTGAAATATTATAATTTATTTTAGGACCATGAAAATACAAGAGTTTTAGCGGTACATTAAATACGCAGAAACTTTTGTCGGTTCTTGATAATCTGGTGTCGGAGGTGTCACAGTTTCAAGCAAAAAACAGAGTCAGAAATAAATAAAAAAAAATATTAATTTTATTGTTGTTTTTTTTAATAATAAATTATTTCAGTAACTAAATTAATGTGTTTATATTAAAATATATGCATAAATGTATTAAATTATTTCACACATAAATACAGTTTTTAAGCAGAAGCATAATCTTCAAAATATTATATTAAAACTTTTAACCAAAAACATCGCAAAATATTTTTTTCTTGAAATAATAATAATAATAAT